AGTGAGATTTAATGTTAGATACACAGCTAGTGAAGTACTTTTTCAGAGCCTGAGTAGTCAGCGTTTGTGATTGGAGCATTGAGGGGTTTTTGGGGAGAGGAGAATTGCATCCTGAACTCTTTCAGTCCTGATATTGTTAGGCAATATTTTTTTTTTTTTTAGAGAAGAGATAAATAGAAAGTGAGATCAAGATGGTAGAAACATTGTTTGTCCAATCTGGTAGACAGGCCTAGATAAAGTCAAGCCATACAATGGTGTACTTCAAGAACCATGGGGTTTTGCAGACTATTGTAGTGTGTTAGCCCTTGTGCATGCCATTTGTACCATGCATAAATCTATCCTGCAGAGAATGAAGTGACCAAGACAACAAACTAATGATTTGATCCTTCCACTGCAAAGCTAATTACAGCATTCACTCAAAAGCTAGACCCAAATGCTTAGTGAGGAAGTTTGGTAAATTAATTGGCAGAAGTTCCATCACAAACTTGCACTCATCAAACCCACAAATATCAGATTATAGCAAGAATGTATATACTGGGCAGATTATTTTGCTTTGAATAATTGCATTTTTTTGAGTCTCCTGTCTAAAAGTCCTTCTTGGTTTTCTTGGAAGCGGTTTTGATACTTAGTTGCGTACCAACCATGTTAGTATTCAACAGTACTAGATGCATACTAGTATTGTTAATGTTTTTAAGCTAAACTGAAAGAAAAATTACACATTGCCTTGAGGTAGATATGACACCAAGAATGTGCTTTTTAAGAAGTAAAATTAAGAAATTATACTAATATAAAAATAAATATTAATATGAACCCTCTATATTAGCTAGGTGAGATTTAGGTCCATGAATCTTATGTGTTTACCTCATCAATGTATCAAGCACAGTATTTCTGACTGTCTTTAAGGAATAAATAAAAAGATATGTGTGCCATTTTGCCTTATTTTTATTTTTTTGTATTTGCCTTTTTAAAGTTTTATATTTTACAGTATTTAAAATTTGCTTTCATGGTGTATGTCTGTCAATGGCTTTAACAGTGGTCAAGAAAAAAACCAAACTTTCTTTAGAGAATTGACTGAGAAAAATCTTTACAAGTAGGGAATGAAGCATTCTGGCCTGAACTATTCACTAAACAAAATGCCGTGTTCCAGAGGGCGATTAATAAAATGTTTAGTCTGCTCCACAACAATACTGCTTGCTAATGGACACTCACAATTTTTGAGATGTTTGGAACACTTCCATCTTTACTCCAGATACAAAGACTGCCAAAATCTGCCAACCATTAGCTGAGAGGATGAGGGTACATTTTTTGTTGTTTGAACTTTTCCCATACAAATCTGGCCTTAGCAAAAGAGAAGACTGCCAGGTAGTGGGGAGGGATTGCTTATACTCAGGTCAGTTAAAGCTTCTCCCAGAGGTACTAATGTCTTTTTTTACTGTGCATACTGTTATGCACAACAACGGCATATTAAAAGAAGAATGAAATTCCTTCATCATTTTATTCTTCTGACCATGCAACTGGCAGAGGCTCAAGTGCTTCTTAACACTGTAGTATGAATCTCATCATCTGTATCTGAAATTTCATGTAAGCTGGTGTAATACATATTTGAAAGATTATGTTTAATTGTACTGTGCTAGAGTCCAGCTGTGAAAGCACCCTTTCAGACACAAATCAGTAGGAAGCATTTGCTTGCCTAGAAATGATCACAGGAGTCCTTTGTTGTCCTGGAAGTATGCTCTTGTGATTTTGTGGAGATACTGCACTGTATACTGGAAAGTGGTTTGGTAACGTCCAGAGACAGCACAGGTTTTTTTTCATATAGGAGAATATCTGCAGATTGTATGAAACGAGTATCTGGTATTAATTTCAGTATTTTTTTCTGGAGTCCAGATTTGTGTTTCTAACAGAATGTTAGTCTTGCTTGGAAAGTAAATATTACACAGCATTTACCACAAAGTGGTACATATACAGAATAGGAAATAGTCACAAAATCTTTATGTAGCTTCTTTTGATAAATGCTGACTTTTTATCACATTGATTATATTCAAAATACTTTAATAGTTTCCTGTTTTTTCATTTGTTTGTATGCTAATCATCATAGGGATATTCATTATCATAAGTAGAATAGATTTGACTCAGGCGGGAACATGGGATTGGTGAACATAGCATTGGAATGCAAAAGGCATGGATTGTATTTTGCTTTTCATAATCACTCTGTAAATAGACTGGGACAAGTGAATTTTGTCTCTGTGCCTTGGTTTCCCTTCATACAAAATTGAGATCCCAATACTTCCTTTGAAAAATGCACTGAGGTCTATAGAAAGATATTTAAGAACTATGTGAGATTTTATTGCTATTGTGGTAAATGGAAGGAGAAGGTGTTCATGATCATTCACACCAAACCTTGGTTTATTACATCTTCTAAATGGGATGTTCTGCAAATAAAGATTTCCAGCATGGATCAGATGGAGAGATTAGAATTACCTGTGGATCAGTCAGAGATTTATCAGTGGGATCTTTCAAGGCTACAGCTCAGATTCTGTCCTGCTTATTTCACTTCCTAAGCAGTTGCCATACATCAGATGTGTTTTTTTGAAATGTTGCTGTTTTGATTTAGTAGCATTTCACACCTGCTTTTTTTCTGTTTTATATCTCTTGTAATTCTTTATATATATTTTGGAAGACAGTGAAGAAGTGGGACCTTTGAAATTCTTTATTGATGGAAACATTAAAAAAATTTAAGATTTATATTCTAATCATTTATGTGCAGGGATATTTGTCAAATGAACCTGTAGGACTTATCACTCACTTCTGTTGAATTTCAGTGGGATTTCAAAGTCTTACTCCCTCAGGCCCTTCTTTCCACTTCTTTATACCTCAAACATCAATCTTATACATAGGAATGATTTATTGGCAAAGCCCCTCAGACAGAAACCACAAGAAGGCTTTTAGGGCAATTGTTTTCCTTGAATTACGTGGTATTTCTAGCTAGATTTCATATATTCCCCCTGCTTCAAGCACACTGTTCCTGCTGCTCCTGATCCTCCATGATTGTATGCGTTTTGTGACTTTCTCTGGTCTACAACTGAACTGATAGATAACTTGGATTTTGTAAATGGGATTTTAAGTCACACGATATTTAGCAAATAAAACAACATATAAATCAGCAAATAAAATAGGACAATTGAATGTGATCTATCATAGAGAAATGGGCAAATTACTTGTCATGAGGCAGTGTCTCTGGCAGTGATGAGACACAGTAAAAGATCAGGTATAATGTCACAGAAATACGTGTTTTAGAAGTGCATAATTTTGTATTTCACAGATATATTTACTAAAATATTATTAGAGGTAATAGCAACTGGCATTAAAGAAACCCAAGCAAATTAATTTTCAGTGTACTGTAGTGTTAGTTTTATTTAATATTTGTTTGAGTAACTATAATTTTAATTAGAAAAATGTCAAAATTGTATTGTAGTAATGTAAGCCCTCTTGATATAGCTAAAAATTGCACTTGTGGTTTTTGTCAGGTTAATTTATAAGTGTCCCATTACATCATTCCAAAAAGATCTCCCCAAGCACCTGTCACAGTTCCTAATGACAACTGCTTTCTCTCCTGCCCCTGCCATCCTCCTTCAGGTAACAGAATTCTCTTTCCTTTATTCCACATGCTTGTCTTAGCCTCTGGCCCTGACTTGGAAAAGGTCCTCAAAGCTCCTTGGCTCACAGACCAAAGGAGCTGAAAAGGGCTGTCACTTCTCACTGTCTACTCAGCACTTCTTTTGTACCACCGTATGATTGCCTGAGAAAAAACTTAAGCCTTGTTAATCAGCACACAAGGGAGCCAGCAGAAAGTGATGGGGGCTGATAAGTTCCTTGAAATCACTTTTATATTGAAATCACTTGAATATTTTATATTGGTTGAATTTTATCAGGACTTGTCCATTCAAAGATAATTTACTTGAAAATGGTTTACGTAAACTGTAGCATTTGCAGAGTAATTGCAATAGTACAGACTGTTGTAAGGTACGAATATTTTGAAATCACAGGTCCATTTTGCACCTGTCCAACAAAACTGAAATTGCACCAAGGTAGCATTTGCCAATACACAGAATACAGTCTGCTTCCAACAAACTTTTTAAGCTCTTCCATTTCCAATTTATATGCTGTGCTGACAGTAGCAAACCACTAAATCCATTTACAGATCCAATTTGAAGTTAGTTCATGAATTTACATTATCAATGTTTAATCAGTATCTTTTTTGTTTGTTTGTTTAGAACAGCAACAAAACCCAGCAGCTGGGATACCCAGTGCTGGGTGACACAGGCTTCTGGACTAGGTCATCACTGTTTTCGCTGGCATTCTGTGCTTCATTCCCAAGCTTAGGCATCAGAGTAAAGTTCAGCAGACAGTGTGTGTCACCTGTTAATCATCAGCTATTGTTCCCTACCTATGTACTTTCGTTAATAAAATCCATACCACTACATAGCCTTACTTTCCCCTTTGTAAAAATCTTCCTTATATCAGTCTGCCTGGATATATTATATGGTAGTAGATATGGGTAGCCTTGTTTCCTTCCTTCCGGTCTCAGCCATTCTCTGTGCTCTTGAAATGCTGGGTTACTCTCCTTCAGGTGCATCTGCTGCAGGAACTATTTAATATCCTTCTGTGTATTTTTTTCTTACTTCTTAATGTAAAATAGCTGTGTTTATTGAAATTATCCTTGTCACACATACTATGTGTATCAGGTACAGAAATCTAAATTTTGGAAGGGTTCGATAGATAAACAAAAGCTAGCAATCACAAAGGAGAATGTCATACTCTTAATAAATTGACTTCCTGTTTATTTTTCTCAGTATTATACAATTTTGTCTGATGGTTGTTCTTCCTTGACAAATTTACCAAGGGAATTTTTGCAACCAGAGCTTTTCTGTTTTGGCCCTCAAAAAGCAGATTAATGTTTCATTGTGTCAAAAAAAAAGCATTTCTTTATTCCATTACAGGAATACACAATAGATGTTTTCTTCCGTCAGAGATGGAAGGATGAGAGATTAAAGTTTAAGGGCCCAATGAACATTCTTCGATTGAACAACTTAATGGCCAGCAAAATCTGGACCCCAGATACATTTTTTCACAATGGGAAGAAGTCAGTGGCTCATAACATGACAATGCCAAACAAGCTTCTACGAATCCAAGATGATGGGACTCTCTTGTACACCATGAGGTAAGTCTTTTCATCTGTTGTCTACTCAAGCTATTTCTCAATGTGATTTTTCCAGATAACAATTAAATAAGGTTCCAGGAGGACTCTCCTTTGTTTCATTCCATCCCAGTAGAAAGAAAGCTAGGAAAATGTATGTTTTGTTTCCAGTTCTGTTACAAGTCTGTTGGCTGATTATGAGTTAGATTAGTTTTCCTACATGTTCTTCAGTTCTCATACCTCTATAATGTATTAAAAGATACTGACTACCTGCATAAAGTGCTTTGAGACCTTCAGATGGGAATCACTCTGTAAGAATTGTTAAGAATACTCAAAGTTGACCAACTCCATCTTAGAAAGGTTAAAATAGTGTATGACTTTTGCTTGTTACTGCACCCATTGTACTGACCATGTGAGCCCTTAAGCAAATTTATTATTAAGATCAGTGGCAATAAAAAATAAAGAGGAAGAAGAAAGGGTTAATAAGGTCTCAAACTCTTTCCAGCAAGAACTACAGGGAAAATATGTCTTACTCTGTAATAACTGTTTCTTTATATCTAGTTACAATATTTTACTTAGAGTTTTAATTTTTGCAACCTGTGCATGATTAGCAGCTAAGATAAATATTTAGCTGGTAAAATATATTCAATTTGCTTAGAAAATAATTTATGAAAAATTACAAATATCATGTATGCATAAGCGTAAGCAGCATTTTTGTAAGACTGATTTCTTCTTTGATTACTCTTTCTGCAATAATGCTACCTATATGAGTTTTTTGGAAATTTTTTATCCAAATTTCCAGAAACCCCTGACTTAGTATCTTTCTCTTTCTTTGAGAATATTTAATAAATTAAATTTGTTGTGAATATAGACTTAAAATGAATACAATGTGAATGTAGACTCCCCAGCCTAAGTAAGATATAAAATGTGAGCTGTAAAGCAAACATGTACTGTGCAATTTTTTTCATGCAGCCATACCAGCATCCCTTAAGCCTGATTTACTGTACAACACTCAAACCCTTGTAGTATTGAGTGTTGGTGGGTAGACTGCTAATGATGTTGAATGATGTGATAGTTGGAGGGGTTCATAAAAGTTTGCTGGAAATAAATTGAGACCCCCCATTTTTAGTATTTTTGCTTGAGCTCAAATCAATATTTGAACTTGTACCTGTATAAACTGACTGAAATTCTCTCCCTCCAGAAGGTATTATAATCATATGCTATAAATAATAAGAAATACTGTTTGAAACCATTATGAGGAATTTTTTTTTAAAACATACGATGGGTCATGTCAGCTAGAATTAACTAAGCATTTTCATGACTTGTAAGTATGTTGCTTCTGAGGGTATGAACTTAATGCATAAACTGTTTTCATTGTCTAGATTTTAAACAGCCATTTTTATCTGTGTCTATTTAAAATGATACTGTGATTTATATCAGAGGCTCATGCAGTTCTTTCTTTTGCCTTCAGCTGTTTGCTGATTCTTCTCTCTCTCTGCCCCTTGACTTCAGAAAAACTTTCCTGGGAAGTGGGAGAATAGAAATATGGAATATTTTTGGGTGGAAGGGTGGGAGAACATAGTGGGGAATACAATGACTATGAACCACTAGGAGTACAGGAAGATGTAGCTGATGTTTGAGGCTGGATGAAGAGGAATGAAGACATGCAGAAAAAAATCTCTACCCAGAGGAGACTTACAGGATAGGAAGGAGAAACAGAGCCTTTTTTTTTTTTAATTAAAAATAATGGGAAAGAAAAGTCTGTCAAAAACTTTTTTCAAACTGTTTTAAATAATTTTTTAACATATTAATCCCCATATTGGATACTGGGATATTGCTAGGATTTTTTTTTCACAAAATGAGCACAAGTGAATGCATTGTTAACATACTGTCATGCTTATACATATATAAAAATAATAATCACAAGTGACATGGAGAATGAGTAGCAGCAATCTTTTGAAAGAACACAGATAGGTTTTTTTCTACATCTTCCATTCAAACTGTAAAAAAAAAGAAATTCAGAAAACTATGGAGCACAGTCCTTTGGCAGATTAACTGTAGTTTATGTGCTTTTGTAATGAGCCTTTGAGAGCCATATAATCACACATGTACCTCAGAATATTATGAGAAGAAAATGACTGTTCTTAACAACCTGCAGTTACATAATTTATATTTTCATTTAAATGGCCTTTCCTCATAGTTTTGAGGTCAGTTCTTTCAGGTTTTTGATGTGATAAGTCAATGCCTTCCAAAGGAACACATAAAAGGGAAGAAGCAAGAGCTGATTTAAATTTTAATTAGTTTAATATAACATTTCAGTTTCATCTCCTAAATCAGCATAAACTCTGTTCATTTCTGTGGAATTGATTTTCTTCTCCTGCTAACTGACTTAAATGCATAGCGGTCTTTTGCCTTTTAGGCTTACAGTCCAAGCTGAATGTCCAATGCACTTGGAGGACTTCCCTATGGATGCTCACTCATGCCCACTGAAATTTGGCAGCTGTAAGTATATAATGAGAAGCATAGCCTTTGGTTAGTGAATATCTAACATTGTTGTTACATGAGAGGTTTAAAACACAAGATGGTACTTTTTAAAAAATTTGTAACCTGACACATCAAAATCTTTTTTCTCTATTCAGTGTTGTGTCTTCTAAGGTATTTTAAAGCTTTCTTGACTCCAGTTAACAATAAACACTATGCACCTAATTCAGCACTGCACTGATCTACTTTTATTCCAGCGTGCAAACCATACCGATGAATGCAGACCTGGGTGCATGTAGCCAGTGTAGTATTAATGAAGAGCAGATTAAAGACTTCAAAGAATGTTTGTTTTCATTTATTAAAACATTTATTTTCTCTTTATTGTTAATGATATTTGGTTTTACGTTCTTAGTCAATGACGGCTACAACAAATGGCTTCTTGTGATAAAAAATTTCACTCATTAGCGCATCTGCATGTTATAGACAGGTGGACTTTGATCTCACTAGTATTGTTTTAACAGCAGCCTAACTTCATTTGCCTATATTACAGCCTTTATTCTTCTTCATGAATTAGGATCACATTATATGTATTTCCTGGATTTTGTACACTAAAAGGTTTTCTTTTTTTCTTTGGCTGCAGCCTATGTTCTCTGCTGGGCTCAGGAAAGAGAATGCTTTTTTTGAGGAAACCAATTAATATCTTTAAGTTCTGGCTGATTTTACATTAATTGCAGCCACCACAAGTTACAAAACAGGTGTTATGCTGCCACTGAGGACATCATTAACTAGGTGAACATTGCCAGAGCACTGTGCACATTCTCCATAACCTTGACATATCCCTTTGCCTTTGAGTGTGGAGCAAATTAAACCAAGCCTGTGTTTCTGATGATGTTTCCACACTAGAGGGAAATCTTAGCTGTGGAGATAAAAGATCATTAGAATTCATAATATTTGTATCATGGAGCCTTTTTTGCCCCCAAGTATTATATTTGTAATACATAATACAGCTTAACTAACTAACACCAGAGATGTTAGCCAAAATCGGCTACTGACTAATAATATTTACATATATGTGCGCAGCAAGGTATGTTTGATTCATAAGGTGTGGGAGTTAAAAAGACTCGTATATAGCCTCAAAACAACTGAAAACCCCCATAATAATGAAACTGATACTCAGGCCAAGAGGCTACTTTATAGTACAACTTCATTTGCATTCCTAAGTTGGAAACCCTTCTGACTAGGTATATTAGACTTTGTGTGAACAGTTCCTTTTTTTTTCCCTTTTTTTTCTCTCGAGTGTTTGGTTGGGTTTTTTTGCTTACTAATTTGTTCTTTGTTCTCTGCCCATGGTTTCTGGTTTTCTAGTAAACAGGAGAATTCAAACTGTGAGCAATGTGATTTTAGAAAAGCTGTCTTTCATTTCGCCGGTAGTCAGCTGTGCTCCAGCCTGTTGGCACATCCAGGGGACTCTTATTTCTGTTCATTTTGAATGGCTTCACACTCATTTTATTTCTTTACCTAGAACTCATATCTAGACTACTGTACATTTTTCAGCTTTTATTCTGGGATAGAATTTGAGTGATGAATAGTGGTGAAAATAAGCAGGAATCCTGAGGATTTTGGTTTAGCTGAGGCAAGTCCGCCAGTGGTACATATTTGTCACAGCTCTTCATATGCTGCTAATCTTGCATTGCTAGGAGGATCATCTGCCTGTACAAATGTCTCAGGGTTTTTTTATAAATAAGAGAAAAACGAAACTGAATGTATTGGAGAAGCTGTAGTTTAATAGATTGCCTTTCTTTATGCTTATCAAAAAGTCTACCCAACAGTGGCAAGGATGGGGACAAATCAGCAATTGGCAATACTGCTGGTTTGCATTAAAGTAGAGGTCTTCTTGTGGGAAGCTGGAAAGATAGAAGGGAAGTGTTAAAAATCTCTATATGCTACCCACCTGCTAGATTTTGTTAGTCATGCAATTTATGGCTAATTGCATGAAGAAGCTTCTTTCTGGGCCTCTAGAGATTTCTCAAGTGAAAACGTTTGCAGCCCAACAGAAATGTTGCTTTTCTTTTTCACTTCACTACAGTTATGGTATAAGACTTAAAATGTACTTGTCTCAGTCAATCAAAATGAACACACAATTTCTTCCATCAGTGCTTTACCCTTTTCCTTTCATACTCCATTTGTTAGTAGTGTATTAGACTGGAAAAACTTGCAGGACATACTCAATTTTTTTCTTTCTTACTGACTGGAGAGGCATTAATGCTATTTAAAATACAGTGCTGATTTGCTTTCATTCTAGTTTATTTTGACAGACCCTAGGCCAAATGTGTATTTGATCATGAATGCACTGAGAGAGCAGCCTGCTTAATGTCAGTGTGTCCCACAAAAAGATGCCAAGGAGTGACATTTAAGAGGGTACACAGGGCAAGGCACAGAACCACTACAAGTTTGTTAACCATATTGTCACTGAACCTGGTTTCCCATATTTAGGTATGAATTTCAGCTAATAATAAAATGTTTGTGATACACTCCCAAAGTGGAGAGTGGCGACAATGGAAAGTCAGAACAATATAGGAATGAATTTTCAAAAATGTTGTGTGTCCTAAATATTGCAAATTGTTGTTCTTTTCATCTGGCTTACCAAGAGTTTTAGAATACATACAATATCTAATCTCTGACAAGTTTTTTAACAGTGTAGAAGAGATGTTTATAATTTAATAGCAGTAAATTGTGGTTAATAAGATAACAAATAAGTGCCCTGTTCCCATGCTGCAATAGACATTTACCTTACAGTAAAGCTATTTTAAATGGCCAAACATATTCTTTACCATATAACTTTAAGTTTTTAGGGTGTTTTTTTCTTTTGAAAAATAAGTAGCTCTTCTAATTCTATGAGTTTTGATGGAAGCTGTTTAATTTAAATTGCTGACAAAATATTTTATCTTATTTTCCACAGATGCATACACAACTTCAGAAGTGACATACATTTGGACTTATAATGCTTCAGATTCAGTGCAGGTGGCACCAGATGGCTCAAGATTGAATCAGTATGATCTTTTAGGCCAAACAATTGGAAAAGAGACAGTTAAATCAAGTACAGGTTAGTAAAAGATGTTTTGAACAAAAAGGCACTCACTCGGCTCTGAAGAACATAGGGATTGCTGGTGATGTCAGAAGGCTACTGAAAAAAACTGTTGCAAAATGTGAGATGTTAGGCATAGTCTATTAATGTATGGTACAAGTAACACAAAACAGCCCTTTACTGATTCTTTCAAGTTAATAAGTAACTGGTCATAGCAGAGCTGAACTTGTCCCCAGTGACTGTTTTTTAATGCTATCTGGAGCTCAGTCTTGAATCCTGATGTTTGTAACCCAAGACTGGGATAATTGTTTAATTTCTTATGGTAAATCACAATTTTGTCTACTAAATGGTGAAGAATGCAGGTTTCAACTATTTTTTCCTTCCATCATGTTTTTGGCATTACACACTGGATTATTCTACCTGACTCTAGACTGTGTTCCTACATGTACCAGGCTGTGATGAACCCCCATGATTGCCTTTTGACTGTAGATTAAGTTCTCAGGGTGCCTTTGTGTGGATGCAGAGAGTTGCTTATGGGCAGAAGCCTGCAGGACTGAAGTTCTTGTCAGGGCATACAAGAGTTCCTGTTAAGTTCCTGAACACTGATCTTTCCTGGAGCTCAGTGGGAATAAGATGTAGTTGTACTCAAAAACTTTCTTATATTCTGTAGGGTGCTTTCTACTACAAAATACGTTCTGTGCAATTAACCGTATCACATGTGGTTTACATAAACATACCAAACTTTCTTTTACCAAAGAAATGGACTTTCTTAAGATGATAACCTTTTGTTTCATTGTATTTTGTTTGTTTGTGGCACCTAGGCGAATATACAGTAATGACGGCTCATTTTCACTTGAAGAGAAAAATTGGTTATTTTGTCATTCAGACTTACCTCCCCTGTATCATGACTGTCATTCTCTCTCAAGTGTCATTCTGGCTAAACAGAGAATCTGTACCTGCCAGGACAGTCTTTGGTGAGTATACTGAGTAGCATTAGCTTTGTTTACAACAGCTGAAGCTGTTAGGAAGCATTTCTGCAATCTGTTTGGTAAAGGCCTTTTTCATTCAAGTTAGTGTGTTTGTAGAATGTGATAATATTTCTAGTCCAAATGGCTTTCAACTGCAGTTTACAGATATCCTGAGAATGCCAAAGTCTTTGGAAATTAGGACATACAAGAGAAACGTCCATGTATCCTTGACTCTTTTAAGAGGAAAAAGTTTTCACAGAATGGAAAAAGATGATAATGTTTCTATTTAAAAAGTACTTTTAGATTATTTTCAGAAATGTCTTACCTTGATATTATCCAAATATTTTGGTACTTAGTAGATAAGCACATTTCTAAATATATTTGTAAATTAAGCAAATTAAATTTGAATTTGTTGAATTATTTGAATGTGTTAAATTTTGCAAGCTGCAGTTCTTTAAAAGAAACCCTATTCTGGAGTCTGGGCAAAACTTTCTCACTAATTCAAATTGGGGTGTACTATAAGGCAGCGATCAGCTTCAGCAGTGAAAAATAATGGTGTTCTCTTACAATAAGGCTTTGCTCTCGTCTTTATTAAAGCAAAGTAACAAATGTCTTTCTTATTTGCGTAACTTAAAGTTCTTTTAATTTGTTTGCTTTTAAAGAAAAAGAGACTAGCACAACAAAAAGAAAGTAATGCCTGTGTGGAATCAGTGATCATAAATGCTGCATAAAATCCTATGATTAGTCATCAGTAAACACCATGCACTCTTCAAAAAATAGGCCAAACTTAAATACATATGAAGTATGATCCACAAAAAAGCACTTACTGTCTCTCCTGGTGGAGAAAATGCCACACAAAGCATCATGAAAATTGCAGGTTTGAATATAAGCCTTATTGAAGTCAGATGAAATGGGTCAGTGGTTTTAGTGGGACCAGAATTCTACCATGTGTTCCCAGGCAGTTATCAGACAGAATTTTTTTTTTTCTTTCTTCAAAATCTTCTGTGAATTTGTCCATTTCTGCTTATCAAAATGCACATTCCTGTTTTCCAGCCTTGCAAGTGCATTGTCAAATCCTTCTATATCTCTGTCTTTGCCCTTTTCTGTACCCCCTTCTATACATTCAGGACAGTGTAACTGGTTTGTCCAAAAAAAGTCTCACATATTCTCTTCCTAAAATGCACTTTCGGTTACTGTGTCGTTGGTAACAAGGCACTACATCAGTAACAAGGCACTAGGATAATTTTCCTGGAATGTTGTGTCCCTTCCTGCATACCTCTTTCTTGTTCTTGATTTATTTTTTTGTTTAATTTATGTTTTTATTTGAAATAAGTAATACCTGCATGGCAGCCTGCTGCTTTACTCTCCTGGGGGTTTAGCATAATATGGATAATGAACAGTGTCTTGTTTCAGGATGTCTTGAGGGAACTGGGTAGGATGGCCACAAGAACAGGACCACACCACCCAGTGACATAAAATCTAAAATTTATTTACTAAGCACAATGGGTATATCGAGGGGATAGCAATTTCTATGCTAGTATTTTATTTCTGCCACACAGACATACACCTCATGCACCAGTCAGGGCTCTGTCCCCTCCAGGCCAGCTTAGACTGGCACCCTGAACCCAGAGGAACAAGACATGTCCAGGCTCTGCCTCATGGAGCAACCTAGCCCCTGCATGCAGCATTTGCACCTCAGGCTTAACCTTCTGCATTGGGTTCAATGTCCCCTGAGGAGCTATTCCTAACATTCTTTTACACTCTAGATGAGATTGTCAGCATAAGCTGCCAATGGCCTCTCTAATTATGTTGCCCCAGGTGAATCTCTCAGTCTTTCTCCATACCTACTGGCAGCAGTTGTCACTGAGATTTCTGATACCCTCTGGTCCCTTGCCTAAATGTGTTATAAAAATGTGAAGTTAGCCACAGTTTCATAACAAAGTTCATCTATTGCTTCTTACTGTTTTCTGGCTCGTACTGAATTAAGCTTGACAGTTGGAGCTGGGCAGGTACACTCAAGGTCTCGTTTGGGTGGTACTTTCAGGTAGCTTCCACCCAGTGACACATGAAGCCCATGCTACAGCTAAGGTAATAAAACTAGCTACTTCCAGCAGGGAATATAAAAATTGCAGGAGATTTTACTTTACATTTTTATCGATCATACTTAATTTTTAGTTTTTATGTGGAGTAGTCACTTGCTAGATAGCCATCTTTGCATTGTATAATACATATATCAATATTAAAATATGATTAAGTAGAAAGTATTAGTTTTGATAAAGTGTTTTTCAGAATCAATGAGAAATTTATTTCAAGTACGTTCTGGAGAGCTACCAAGTCCTGGAAAGGACTAATAACTGGAGTACTGTTCCTTTCAAAGAAACATAAGTTATTCAAAGCACCACTTAGCATTTATTATTTCACGTTTGAAAGAAGTTACTTTTCTTTCTCCTTTCTATTCTCTTGCAAGGTAGTTTCAAGTTCTAGGTTAACATTAAGGGCTTGGTATAATGAGGCTTCTTTTATAGCTGAGCTCTTTAATCCCTTTCCTTTATGGCATCTATTTAATATTGTTGACCTAAGCTATCCCAAATGAATTATGGCCTAATGTTATACTTTGCTTTAAATTATTGGAAGAAGAAAGTTTTATCATCGTTAATTAAATAAGTCTTGAATGTGTTTTCTCTAGGAGATAAATTTGAAAAGCATTTGATTGCATTTTTAACGAAAGGGAATAAGCCTGGTTCATAATGCCTTCATTTAGTGCAAGATTACAATCTGTTTCATTTAGTAATGTGTTTATTGTTCCGCATTTAGTGTCAACAATATTAGCAAAACTAATCTTGTGCAGCTTATTGAATTCTCGCTTCATTTTTAATGGGTCATAACATTTAGAAGCATCACGTATATTTGAATAGCAGCATTAGATGCAGGTGACAGAAAAATCAGAAATTAGTTTTCTCAGTGCTACAGTTATCTATGTGTTTTAACTCACACAGAGTAGGAATGAGAATGTTAAAATGAATGTAATTAGATATATATTCTTTGATACCCAAAGCAGGCAAGAACAAAAATTAATAGTCATATTATTTTTTAGTACATTATCCAGGATGCAGGATTTTAAATCACATAGCTATGTTCCTTTGTCAAGAGTCTGCTCTCTGTGATCATTTTATTCTTATGCTGCATTCCTATCCCTGTGTTTTGCTTGTTCTTGGTTTATCTTTTCTGAACCTATATTAATTAATGTACATTTTGAAGCAAAAAGCCATTTAGACCTGAAATAGACAGACTTTTTAATTGTAGAACTACAGAAAGGGGAACCTAAGAAAAGTTCAGATTTTTGCTCTCTGGTTATTTTTATGTGGGAATTGAAAAACATAGACCCTTCCTTTTGAACAATTCTATACATATAAATTACCTTTTCCCATTTTGTTGAAAAGAATCTCAACTGTCTTTATTACTTCTCCTTTCACATGCTGCAGATTATCTTTTGTGCCTTTAGAGATATCCCACCACTCACAACTTTCAGTCTCTAATTTCTTAATTGGGAATTTCTGCTAACTGTAGACATAACACTCTAGTGGTAGGCAGTGGGCAAGCATACCTGGAAAACTGTAGCCCTTAGTTGGAGACTGAGCTGGCTGCAAATGAACTAATATGTCTTCTCAGCTCAGTGGTGTGCCAAGACACTAGCTTATGTTCCAACAGTGGCATAATGACATGTGACTTTGACTGGAGCTGGGGTAAATAGCACTTGCCATTCAGCTTTGGGAATTAACTTGGCTGTTGATCAATGGGGAACTCTGTTCCATTGCTCGGTATTCGTACAGTGAAGCAACATGAGCACCGACTTCACAATATGTATATGTAGCTTAACCGACTGACTGAATGCAACTTTTCTGGAAATAGATTATGTTATGGTCCTTGGCCTACCATGCTGTTTAAAAAGGCTTCTGGCCTTTTGTGTTGTTCTTTTAGTAAAAAGGGTAGACTGAGCACTTGAGCTATTTTCTACAATCTTTCTCTCAATGATTGTTCAGACTTGTCTCCCGGTGTCTAAGCAGAATCAATGTACACTCCTTTTGTATTGTATTCTCAAGTAATACATATACATTGCATAAGTAAAAAAGAAACAGTATGGTATGTAGCCAAATGTTATGGTATAATACTTTAAAATTACACTGTCTCCAGAATTTTTAAGCTTTTGTTTAGATCTCCAATCATTTACTCTTAGAGTGATAAAATGAAGTAGTAATCTGTATCTCTGTAAAAGGGACAACAGTCTTTTCTTTCTGCTATGTTATTTGTATTTATAAATCTATTCAGGTTGTGGACCAGGTTGAGTGAATTAAATTTTCTGTCTAATTTTTTCCCACTTAGTTCAGGTTAAATGACTGTGGTAGCTTGAACATCACTGAATTTACAGAGTAAAGGAATAAATGAAAGTGCATTGGCAATTGTCTGACAATGTGCTGTTTGATTAGCATTTGAGTCACAAAGTGGTGTGGCTTGCTGAAATTTTTAGAGAAATTGTCAACTGGTAGCAGGATACAAGATGTAAATTCATGATGTTTTAATTGAGACTAGAAAAGGTCAGCAGTTAATCTTAAATTAGATTTCTGAAGAAGCCAATGGGGCTTCCAGAAGGTTAGGTTATTCTAAAAGGTAGGACTTAAACAGAACAGTACCTTAGCAACTGTATATATTTACATGTGGATAAGGTCACCTTATCTCTGAAAAACAATCACTTTACTGATACTTCTGTATAATTAAATGATTTATCTGCAGCTCAGGACCAGTGTTAAAATTTGCATGTGATAATTTTAAATGATAGACTGCCTTTTGCCTGAGGTGCTGAAAATAATTAAGCCATATGTTGTGTAAGTGTTAGGAGAGAATAAGTTCTTTACAAACTACATTGTCTACACATTTTCATACAATATAGTATGATAGCTGCTTCCTTTTCATTGTATAGGCTAGCAGATCCCAACAGTGTCATGGCTGATTCCAGACCAAATCCACTTCTTTAATTTATGGAGGATGAAAAAGAGCAATTAGAGAATTATGTTTGCTGAGGTGTCTGGATTCTGTGTGACTCAGCAGGATGTTTTAGTGCCTAGTTTTCCCTGCTGCACAGGCCTTTGGAAGCGCATCAAGGGAGAATAGCGCAGAGGCTGAGTCCACTTAGGTTTGCTCTGTCATCCTTTGTAGAACCCTTAGAGATGGAGATTCTTTACAGGAGGGATGGAAATGGCAAAGCCTGAAGAGGTCTGAGTAGGTGTAATTGCTGCCTCTCTTCCCTCTTGCACAGTGGTTAGAAATGCTTCTCTTGTAGCAGAAGGAAAATTTGAGCTATGTCGATCCTGCAGAACCCAGGTGGCAGATTGCCGACAGTGGAGAATCCGGCCTAGGGAGAGTGACTTTACTTTCTCTTGGGAATCCTCTTACAACAATTTTATGAGTGTGTAGTTGTTGAAGCTGTGATGTGCTGTTACTAATATTTCTGCCATGGCATCTCCTTTGCCTGTCATAATGGGGTGTTAAATGCTGATCTGTGCCAAGTATATCACTTTGCGTTGCTTTTCATTCTGGAGACATATTTAATGGTGTGCCACAAAGGGAATAGTTTAGTTTGTCTAAGTGTGATTCAGCCTAAGGTGGGAGAACTGATTTACTTAAGGAATGGAGACTGCATTTGTGGCTGTGGGTTTCTGCTTGCTAAAACTGATTCAGAAAAATGTTCTTCCTTTCCTCCCATGTATCTTTTTTCTGATTTTTTGGAGTATAATTCGTGGCTTCCTACTGGGAAGGAATTATGTACGAAGTACTGTAAAGTGCTTTTAATAGCTGCCACAGTGAAAGAACAGTCTTCCTGGATCATCAAGTTTTGTTTTCTGACACATAATACACAGTTATAATAATCTGGCATTTCAAATCAATATGCTGTTCTAGAAAAAAATCCATGTTACCTGAATGAAAACTTAACCTGTTTATGTCTTCAACTATGTGACTGGATGGTTAGTGAGACAGCTACTGGGAAAAAAAAAAATCATTATTTCTAATAACAAAGGTAAATTTGTGTGGTACTGTCAGTAAAGATAGGTGCCAGACCTGCAGCCACTGCAGGTCAGCCACCAAACATTAGCATTTTAATCATTAGTACTGTAATGCTGCAAAGTATTAGATTCCATTAAGGAACTGTTAATTTGTCCCTTCCCTGTCCTGATAGCTAAAAAAAAAAATAAATATTGTCTCTCTACTCTAAGTGAAATGTTCAGCTGATTAAACAAGGGAAGTTTAAACAACAAAATTGAACTAAAACATTTCAAAAGAAACTCCAGATGCAGCCTTTAATATGGTTCTGGCAGTTTGTCACCAACTCAGATAAGCAAATTTTCCATTGTGTTTCACAAACATACTGTAATAATTTTTGTTTTGTATTTTTGTTAACATTCAAAATCCAAGTAAAATTGTTGATGTTTTGTTTTTTTGTCCCCTTGCAGGAGTAACAACTGTGTTGACAATGACAACACTAAGCATCAGTGCTCGAAATTCACTCCCCAAAGTAGCATATGCAACAGCTATGGATTGGTTTATTGCTGTTTGTTATGCATTTGTGTTCTCTGCATTAATTGAATTTGCCACTGTAAATTATTTCACAAAACGAGGATGGGCCTGGGATGGAAAAAGTGTAGTGAATGATAAGGTAAGTCCTAAGGAAATAGCCCTATTTCCAGTCAATTGCACTAAACCAGCTGTAATATATTGTTTTGATAAAATTGCCTATATATAAAAAAAAACACCATAATGTTTTAAATCAAAAGAATGTAGATGTATTTTCTGTCCTGAACAAAAATATATCTGCTGTGATGTAGCTAATCTCACTTGCTCTCAATAATCCAGATTTAGTTATCATGCACATTGGTTTTTTTATGTTAGGACCTGTCTGACTTGTTTCTTGAGTTGGAAAAAAGAAAAAGATTACAGAAAGATGTAATGTGTATTAATTTTCCTGGTAAATAAGGATCAGAAAAACAACTGAATGCCCCTATATGTAAAAACTGTTAATAACAAAATCTAGACGTTTTGAACATTTTCAGTGTTCTTAAACTTATCCCTAATGATATGTAGACATTAATTTTTAAACTAATTTAAATAGCAGTTGTACAAAATTCTGAGCACTTCTTCACCTATGATGTATTGATGCTCTGAGTGGGCAGAAACACAGTCATGCCTTAATTTTCTGGTATTGATAGTAGTGTAGGTGTGATAACATTAAGAAATTTTAACCTGATGATAGAATTTCTTATTTCATGAACAGAATGAACCGGTGATATGCCTAAATTTGTGTCAAGCTTTACAGTTTATAATTTTAATAACACAGAACAAATGTTAAAGCTGACTTGTTGTTTTGACTAACTTACTGTATTATATAATTTTGTCCTATCACAGTCCTGATTCTACCAATGGAAAAGGATTTCTTCTGACAAAGAATACTCAGATTTCTGTGGCTCTTCTTAAAATAGGATAGAATATTATTTCCTTCCTAGATGATAATAGTAGACGTGAAGCAAAGTTTAATTAACTGATGGTTTCTAAGCATTTTGAATGCATAAAGCACAATGCATAAAGAAGCAAAATGTTCAGTTAATGGTAAAGGAGAATTAGAGGAAATGAGCACATTGTTTGTAATTCCCTGTGGCTTCCGGAAGGGCATGAACTTCAGGATCTGTTCCCTCATGCTAGAAGTAGATACTGAATCACTACAAGTTTATCAGCATGTCACGAGTGGAGCTTTTCAGACTGGCACATTGCCCTGGCATTGTAATAATGTAGGGAGCCCTTATAAACTACAATCATCCTTTGGCTGTTTCTTTAAATTAATATAACAGTGCTGTCTCATGATCTTAGGAGTGGCAGCTGTTTAACAGCTAGGTAGTATTCCTTCCCTAGGAATGACAAAATTAGCCATTCCATTTTAAGGTTTATATACCATTCACATGTCCAGTTCTCTATTTTCTTCAGACTGACTTAACAAAAAGCTAAACTTTTAACATATTCAGAGTTTCTCATACAAAAATATGGTTCATCTTTATTATGCAGGTCTCACTAATGGTATTACAATTACCTTTTAAAAACATAGTAAGTGTGTCTGAAAGGAAGGAATTATAGATCAATTAGAATGTTCCTCTCAGAATTTGATTTGGTAATTTGCTCTTATTTTTGCCAAATGCATCTGTGCACCTAAAGCCAGGCTTACTCTTCACCAAATAAAGAGAAATATGTTTCTTCAGTGACAGTCATCTCTGTTCACGTTATATGAAAATTCCCATCTAAGTGCTGTCAACATGGAATTTGTCTCACAGGAAAGCAGGTGCAGGGACAAACTATATATTTGATCAACCCTTTTTCACACTCCAGTCAATAAGGAACAGCGCTGAATTCCCACCCGATCCCAGATTTTCTTTTTATGTGACAACATCTCCTGAGATGAGGTATTTGGGGCACAACATCTAACTATGAAGTTCTTATCAAGATTTGTAGATGGCCCTGATATATATCAAATTGGAGCTAATTTAAAACCAGAATTGGAAATTGGGTAGATACCTCCCAGTGGAAGTAAAAAATTGGAATGCACCTATATAAGAAATGTCACAAGAATTCCCTCACTTATGCCACTTCCATTAGATTAAAAATCAAACCAAAATACAACAGCTGATGATTTCTTATATGAGCCAGAAGTTAACTATGTCTTCATCTGTTTAATTCTGTATTTTGTGGAAGAGATGGACTGAATCTAATATTTATTTGCCTGCTTCTAAATTATATATGGAGAGCCTTGCTTCCTGAGAAACTGAAATCCTTCCTTTCTTTCCTGTAGGTTATTAGAAGATCCTTAGTTTGGGATTGCTGCAAAACAGTGAATCGATTTCTAGCATTACAGTCTTATTGCAGAGCTAGTCTGTGTACCTATATGTATGTCTAAACACTCAAGCCTATACTCATTACCTATACATCCCTGTATCTATCTATAGACATAGCATCTCCATTGGGCTGCCATTGGCTGAACTTTAGCTGTTTGAAAGCCGACACAATCCTGTAAAAACACAGAATTGCTGAGGTTGGAAGGAACCTCTGGAGACCGTCGAATTTAACTCCCTTGCTCCCAGCAGGGTCAGCTAGGGACGGTTGCTCAGGGTCACGTCCAGACAGTTTCTTAATACCTCCAAGGATGGAGACTCCACAACCTCTCTGGGCAACCTGTTCCCCAGTGCTCAGTCACGCTCACAGTAAAACAGGGTTTTTTTTGTATGCTTAAGTGGAATATTCTGTATTTCAATTTGTGCCCATTTCCTCTTGTCCTTCCACTGGATATCACTGAGAAGAGTCTGGTCTGGTTTTCTTTACTCTCTCCCACCAGATATTTATATACATTGATAAGATTCCCCTGCTGAGTCTTCCCCTTCGCTGAGCTCTTCCAGGCTGAACAATCCCATCTCTCTCAGCCTTTCCTATTTCAGATGCTTCAGGCCTTAAATCATCTTTGTGGTCCTTTGCTGGACTCACTCCATTATGCCCATGTCTCTCTTGAACTGGGGAGCCCAGAACTGGATCCAGCACTCCGGATGTGTCTCACCAGGGCTGAATCGAAGGGAACAATCACCTCCCTTGGCCTGCTGGCAACGCTGTTTGTAATGCAGCCCAGGAGGCTATTAGCCTTCGTTGCTGTGAGGTCACGTTGCTGGCTTGTGTTCAACTTGGTGTCCACAGGGATCCCCTGGGGCTTTTCTGCAATGCTGCTTTCCAGCCCATTAGCCCCAACCTGTACTGGTACATGGGGTTATTCCTCCCCCGGTACAGGACTTAAATTTCCCTTTTCTGAACTTCATTAAATTCTTGTCATTCCATCCCACTTTTCTTATCTTCTGTTATTTTTTAGGTTCTAATCCCCATTTTCATCACTGTTATGCATTTTTTAAACAATAATTTCTGATAAACAAGAATAGTTCTTGGGCTAGTTCTCAGTTCACTTCTGTAACTACCAGGCCGGAGTCCTTCTTTCTCTAATTGCAATCTCTTACTGACCTCTGTGTGTGTGTCTATGTATATATACGTGTAAACACGCACATATTTCTCCAGAATCTCTAAAAAATGTAGACCATTACTGAAATTCCTTTATTTATTGAAGGTATGTTATGAGGTGTTCAAATAATAGTGATGCTAGATTTATGTGGGAAAGATGGCCTGATTTTCATTTTATTACAATGCTGGGTAATCTTTTTTTTCCAGTCCATCCATTCACTCCTTCTTGTTCTCTTAACAGAGAACATTTTAAATAACTTGCAATTCTGTTGTAAGGAGCCAGATACAAAGTGGCTAGAGAAAGACCAACTCTTTTCCAGTTATCCTTACAATTGCAGTAAGAGACCCTTCCTCATATAACTTCAGTAGGGCATTTGATGGTGCAAGAGTCCATGTTTGTAGAGCATTCTTATGTTACCTATACCTTCTTTTTGGATAGACTGGGTGTGTCTTTATATTTGAATTTATCAGTATGGTATCCCTGGTATTTATTTTAACATACTCACACATACTCATTTGTTTCTTTTACATTTGAAATTATGTTTTATTAAGTCTGTTCTGACAAATACACGTTAAATATTTAACTTCATGCTGTCTTCCAATAGAAAAAAGAAAAAGCGTCTGTCATTAAGAAAAACAATGCCTATGCAGTGGCTGTTGCCAACTATGCTCCAAATATTACCAAGGACTCAGTGCTACCAACCATCTCCAAGAGTGCTACAACCGCAGAACCCAACAAGGCAAAACCAGAAGCGAAGCCACAGGAAGCAAAGAAGACATTCAACAGTGTTAGCAAAATTGACAGAATGTCTAGAATAGTGTTTCCAGTTTTATTTGGTACTTTTAATTTAGTGTATTGGGCTACATATTTAAACAGGGAGCCTGTCTTACTTGGCTTTGCGCCATCAACCTAAAAGCTAAATTGCACTGAGGACTTAAAGCATCATTCTAATCAGATAGGTTGTTCACTATGTACAGTACGACTAATAACTGCTAATCTGTGAACCATTATGTACAGAGTGTATATAGATGTCTTATCTGTCTATCTCCAAAGGAGGGACGCAGTGTTAATTCATGGGTCTGTAAACAGATAGCACCCATGGCAAATATAGCCAGCTCTTTAAAAGTTATACCCAGGGGAGTTCTGTTAAACTAGGATTCAAATATACAGAATTATATTCTCTCCGTACAATGAAAAGAAGATGTGATCCTACATAATTATTTAGGAACAGTATTTTTTTAATTTAAAGTTAAAATATTTTTCTATAAAGTAACTAATTCTACTTTAATGAAAGAAACTGTCATTTAAAAAAGCGATTTTTTTAAAAAGGTGTAATTGTTTCATACAATAGCAGTACCCATGTACATAACAGAGTATGGAGGTCATACAGTTCTACTGTTCACAAACATTCTGGATACTAGGTAGGCTGAAGAGGTAGTAAAGACTACTATATGGCAAAAGCCACAGGTTTCTTACTTCTGTCCTGTTTGAAGTTGTTAATAAACTCTTCCAATTGATTTCAGGGAAAAGCGAGTGTTAATCAATTTTCCAATATCAACTTCCACTAGTGGAACTCTTATTCTTTTCACTGTTTTCCTTTTTTGATGTTGCTAAGCCAGGTTGTCTGGTTCAGCAAAGTTGGATTTTTTTGCTTTTTGATTTTGTTCTTAATTGGATTATTGCGAGGTTCATAAAAGTACTCAGAAATTTTTCAGGGTTAAGTATGTCAGTAATATAATACACTCTTTTTCCTTGCTTAATGTTATCCTAAAACCTGCCATTAAAATATTTACCTGTATTTGTCCCAGAAAGCATTGTTTTCAAGGGAAACAAGAACCATGACTTAAGTTCAGGAAATTGTCCATATAATAAAATTTACTGCTGCTTTTGTAAATTGCAACTTTACATTTCGCTGACATAACTTTACAACAACTTTGTATACTAGAAATGGTTTTGCTAAGATTTGAATGTTATTTTTTTAATAAAAGGTCATGCATCATCAGTAGGTATCAACTGTATTTCATATACACAAATATAACAAAACTGGAGCTGCCATTTGCAATTTTATATGAGCATTTAATACTGATCCGTAAAATTGTTTTTCATCTGAGCCTTTGCAAAGATTCTTTATGCCCCTAAAGGCCTGGTAAATCATGACATAAGTAATAATTGTGTACTGTATTTAGATTTTAGTATACTTGGCCAATCAAAAATATTTTGATTCACACATACATTAGCAGTTATTAGTTGACCTTTAAAAAAAGATACACCTTTATGATGATGTCTTCTAGTAGAGACATATGTAGTCGTATAGTGTCATTTATTGCAGTTTTGTACAGTACTTGAGTATAGTGCATAAAATAGATATGTTCAGAGTTTAACAAAGTTGTACAAATATTTCTAAAATCAAATAAAAGAGTATCTTAAGACATGGAAATGTGCTAAAAACAACAAAGAGAAACACTGCTTTCATTTGCTGTTTTATTTTCTTGCTTTTTCTTTGCTTTTAATGTGATTCTGTTTTGTACTTTGTGTGACAGTATAGATGCCAAGGTCACAAATGCATATTACGAATAGAATTAATAGCTAAGACAGAGTTGAGATCAGTAAAATAAAGACATTTTGTAAGTTATAAATGAAAGAGAAAAGCATGGACAAGGTGTGTATCCCTTGAAGTCCCTCTAATTAAGCCGTCAGATTAAACCTTTCTCATCAACAGTAGTTAAAAAATGAGCACTTTACTCAGAACATTAAAATAAAAATATCCTTATTTTCATATATATTTATATATAAATGTAGATCTTCCATGTAACATGGAGATGTGTGCAATAGTGTGATTATGAGCATAAGGCTGGAAGGCAAGCAATAAAAAAAAGGTTTTTTCATGGTATAATTATACATTTTTAAAATCTTTCATTTGTAAATTATAAATGATCCCTTTAATGTCACATTGTCCAGGTATGAATAAATATATAAATATGTACATATGTACAAATAATTGTAAATATTAGAACTGTAGAAAAATCCCTTCTCTTTTAACTCTGTTTTTGGCAAAGGGCTCTGACTGTATAGTTTAATGGAGGCCCATGCTAAACTGCTCTTGAACTTGAGTAGCTCGATTATGTTTTCTGTAGCTGAGGTCTCCTTCCTGTGACCTAGTGGGAGTTCTTACCTTCTGTTCACATCAGCAAGATCTAGGGACTCTCCGAACCTCACTGGACTGGGATATGAGAAAGAGAGGTTTGTGTTTCACCCTTGGCCACATCCCAGGTACTCTAAACCCTTCACAATGTTTAAACAATGTTGTGTATTGCTCCATGCACGACACTGTGTAGTCAGAACTCTCCCCACTACAAACATGAGTGTGCTCAGAGGCATGTTGAATTACTTGATAAGGAAGGATTTTGCATCCTTATCCAAGAACGTGACCCCTCAAAGGTTTTTAACAGTAGAAGTCTTCTCCAACAAGACTTCTTCTCTGGAAGATGACATCTGTGTAATTCAGAGCTGCATGCAAAAAGCATATCTTCAGTTTGCACAACAAGCCTGATGCTGTCTCATGTTAGTCAGCTCTGCTGCTACTGCTTTTATTGGGTACAATTATTTTTTCATTCACTGACCATTTTCTTTATGCTTGTGTTATGCTTAGAGTCAGTCAGACAAAAAAAACAGGTGTTTATCACATGCTAAAGATACATTTATAGCACACTAATATAGAAAAATAGGCATACTATATACATTCACTCAGTGAAAAATAATATGTTTGTAATATCCACATGCAGTTATTGTGGGCATCAGCAAGGCTTTTGAGTGCGTAAGCTCCAGAAAAGTTTCACTTTTACATTTAGTTCAGTTGGTCCATGTTAAAGCAAACTCCTTCTGTGGGAGGAACGAGTTTGCTTTATTGTTTCACTGCTGAAACATTTATAGTGAGTAAACTGACTACACATAAGTTGCAAGTTTGTAAGACTAACAACTGGATAAGTGAATTTGAATGTAGATTTAAGTGAATTTGAATGTAAAGTTTTAAGTGAATGCAAGCATCGTGCAAGGAACACTGGAATACAAGAGTTAGGCCTTCTTTCCATTCAGCAGTATAGAAGCTGTGTCTGGGATTTTAAAGCTGATCTCACAAATTTATGTGCCAAATACCTAGAAGTTTCATTTAATTTGAGTAAAACTTGCTGGTCTTAAATACTTAAAGCAGGGGAAGAGAGCATGAGTGAGCAAACACAAGTCACTGCTGTCAAAGACTTGCATGTGGAATCTACCAGTGAAATTTTTGGTTGACATGTTAATCTAATTTATTTTTCCCATTATTCTTGGGTCAGGGTGTCATATTTTATGTGACTTAAGAAATGAATACAATAAATACAATGGTATAACACTGTGGTAAACTTGGATTGGAATTACCATAATTCAGAACAAGGTTTATGAAATAGGTTTCCAATGTAGTACTGGGGCATGTACGTCTGGATGCATGTGGTCAGTAATTTAACAGTAATTTGTAAATCAGCATGAAGAATATAGGCATCAGCAGGGTTTATCAGCCAGGGCTGTCTGCTGGAGACTTCTTAACATATTGCTTTTAAAAGAGTGGCTTCCAAACTTCTCAGTTATGTTGTAGCCAATGAAATTACCTTCACTTTCCATATCTGGGTTAATTAAATTTGTAAAACTGCTGCATTGTTGAGCATCTTTAAAAAAATTATTATGGTACATGTTCTGAGATATGAGCTTTAGATTGGGAGACTACTCATACCACTGAACATTATGCTAAATTAAGGAGCTAGTCTGCCTGTATAGTCACAGGAGAGAGCATGGAAGAGCTTCACTAGACACCAAGCAGGAGCTCTACTGAATCACCTTCCCTTCCCAGTGATTATAGATAACATATGGGGTGGTGAGACTTTTCAAAAGTGGGGTGACCATAAACTGTCTGCGTGAAAGCAACCAGAAGCAGCTGGGAGGAGGTAGGGATGTATGGGGGAGGAAAGGGGGAAAGAGAAGAAGCAAATGGCTTTGCTTCAGTGTCAGTGGATTGTGAGATGATTGAGGAAGAAGCCATTGAGGGAGGTAATGCGTATTTTTGTTTCAGCTTTGGTTCTGAGCCTTCTTTACCATATGTGAGTTGTGGGAAGGTAGCTTTTAGATCATATGAAATTGAAATCCTTTTTGTATAATTCTGCTGGACTTGAGGGACATGAGTTGTGCCTTTGAAACTGAGAGGTTTCTGCTGACTGCTTTGTGAAAACCATGCTATGTTGTGTGCTTCCTGCTGCATGGGATATCTCGGGTGGAGGGGGAAAAGAAGCTTCAGGAATTAAGTAGAACTTTGTTAATTCTGGGTTTTGTTTTCTTAAGAGGTGTGGCTTTCACTTAAGCACAGATAGTCAGCATCCATCCTCCATACCTCTCATTCCTATTCTGAAAGCTTTGTGGTGCACAAGTTTTTGCCTTGGCCTTTCACAGAATAGATGAAGCGTGTGCTTCTGAACATTTCCATTCCTAACAAATTTGCATGAAAGATGATTTAAGTATGGATATGAAGCTATCATCAGTCTACGCCCTATTATGTGTAGAACACATAATGCTAAAATTTAGAAAGCAATGCAATGGGTTTTAAAGCAGAGGACGAAAACATTTTAAAATGAGCCCAGAAAGTTAAATAGCTTCATTTAAAAAACACAGAGCATGATAAATGTGCAAATGTCTAAACACATCTAAATAGAATCTCTGAGTGTGGTATAATTTGATGTCATACATAAAGTTTTTGTCTTAAAGACTTTGAAATGTTAAAGTAATTAAGTGAATTTATATGAAAGTCAGCTCATGCTTCAGCCTCCAGTAAAGAGAGTGGTTCTTTAGAAAGCAGAGTTTTAGGATTCCTTCCACCTCTTCCCAGCAACAGTGTACCTTCTGCTAGAATGCTGTCAGTTTGCAATATAACTTTAAGTTATATCCCTTTAATATTACCTTCTTTTCATTTTTTTTAGTCAAGGAGACCTCCTCTGTCTCATTTCTGTAGATAACCCAAACTCCCTAACAACCAGAACTTTCAATACTATTCTGAATCCAATTGTTAATTCCAGCTGTCTGAGAATCAGTGGGGGACTTCGTCACTTTAGACCTTTAGCAGTAGAAGC